GTTTTCGGTACTACTTCCTTCTACTTCCCATCTCATACTCCCGCCCCCGTGGCCGGGGAGTTGAAGGAGTTATAAAGTGAGTCTTCCCCACCTTCCACTGATGCTTCCCTGGGTACTCGGCTCTGTGGCCCTGTTCCCAGAGGGTGAGCCTCTCTGTTCAGCTTCACTTGGCCCGTACAGAAAGTCTCCCTCTTCCCCCCTCTCTCTCCCTCCGCGTCATCCATGTCCCTGCCACACTGATGACTCAGAAGCCTGCCAGGTGCTTCCTCCTCCTCCCAGGGTCAGGGAGATTTCAGATGGTGGTGGGGTGATGGTGACATGTGAAAGAGAAAGCACCTCAATTATCTCCTTGCACGGTCGGGGTGATTTCAAAGGGTGCCTGTGTGATGGGAAAAGCACCTGTGAGGGAGGGAGGCGCCTTAGCCAAGCAAAGGTCAGAGCAGGCCAGTGACAGCTGGCTTCCTGTTTGTCCCACACCTCATCCGTGAGCGTCAGGGGCTGACCCAGGGGTCTCTACGCTCCGTAGGCCCTGGAATAAACTGCAAGCTTGTTGGGAAATGATCACGTCTCTGACTGGATTCCCTGGGGAACAGACTCTGTCTGAGATAAGATTTGTGTGCAAGGCTTCTACTGGGGAGCACTGTCTGGACCAACACCCCTGAGGAGTGAAGGCAGAGGGCTGGGCAGGGTGAGTTGTGCTATGATGTAACAAAGGCCTTCACTGATTCCACCACCTCCTCTAGCTCTTCAGAGCTGTCCTGTCTTGAGGCAAGGAGATGGGGCCCGATGACTAGTCACTGGACATGTACTGCCCCGAGGGAGGGGCTGTGACCTCGAGCCCTTGGTTGGCTGAGGGCAATTTCTGGAAAGAGGCTCAGGTGAGAGCCTTCAACTGCCAACACTCTCCGCAGCGGGGGAGTGAGCGTCTGTCTGAAGGGGGCATCTGGGTGGCCCTCCATACATCCACTACACAGCCATCTAAAGTGGAACCATGACATTTTTTTAATGTTCAAATTTTACATTTTAAAAGTAAAAATGTCATAAATAAGTCATTGTGTGTTTGCTTAAACTTGTTCTATCCAAAAATATTTTTCATGTATTCAGAGAGAGTAAGCCATACAGCTCCCTACAGAAATCATTTTGTCAGTAGAAAGCCAAGTGGTAAAATAACAAATTTGGTGTAAAAAGTGTTCTAATTCAAATTAAGAACTGATAAAGATGGGTCGAAAAACTCAACGTTAAGATCATTTTCTTCGAACATATCTATAAATTCAATGCAATCCCTACCAAAATCTCAGCAGACTTTCTGTAGAAAATGACAAACCGATTTTAAAATTCACATGAGCTCTGGCCGGTTTGGCTCAGCCGTTAGAGCGTCAGCCTGCAGTCCAGAGAGACCCGGGTTCGGTTCCCACTAAGGGCACGTACCTCGGTTGCAGTTTGTCCCTGGCCCTGGTTGGGTCGTGCGGGTGGCAGCCACTCAATGTGTCCCTTTCACGTCGATGTTTCTCTCTCTCCCTCCCACTCTGTCTGAACAAAGTATGAAAAAAATGTCCTCAGGTGAGGGTAAAAAAAAAAATTAAAATACAATGAGAAATCATGACACACCTGCTGGAATGACTACGATGGAAAAGACTGATCAACAGTGAGGATGTGGAGCAACTGGAACCCTCATATATTGTTGGAGGGAATGTAAAATGGTACAGTCACTTTGGAAAACAGTTTGGCAGCTTCTTAAAAAATTAAACACGCACCCTGTCCGGTTTGGCTCAGCAGTTAAGAGTGTCGGCCCAAGGACCAAAGAATCGCAGGTTCGATTCCCGTCAAAGGCACCTAGCTCGGTTGCAGTTCCGTCTCCGGCCTTGGGTCGTGCAGGAGGCAACCAATCTATGTGTCTCTCTCACATGGATGTTTCTCTCTCTCTCTCTCTCTTCCTCTCTCCCTCTCTCCCACTCTATCTGAAGATAAATGAAGAAAAAAAAAAAATCCTCAGGTGAGGATTAAAAAAATAAAATAAAGTCAAGGTTAAATGGTATTGTTAACCACAAATGTTTAGGATAACACATGACTTGAACACTAGGTTATATTTGTTTTACTTTTATTTATTTTATTTACTTATTAATCTTTTATTTTTAGGAGAGACCATTTCCAATCTATATATAAACCCAGTTATAAAAGGCAGCCTAGCCCTGGCCGGTTTGGCTCAGCGGTTAGAGCATCGGCCTGCGGTCCTGAGAGACCCGGGTTCGGTTCCCACTAGGGGCGCGTACCTCGGTTGCAGTTTGTCCCTGGCCCTGGTCGGTTGTGCGGGAGGCAGCCACTCGATGTGTTCCTTTCACATCAATGTTTCTCTCTCTCTCTCTCTGTTCCTCTCTCCCTCCCACTCTACCTGAACAAAAAATGGAAAAATGTCCTCGGGTGATGATAAAATAAAAAAAAGGCAGCCTAGATCCCTCTTGGCTTAATGGAGCAGAACCTCAGTACTTGCTGGGAGTTAAAACAATAGAGAAATCAACGTCTATCTGGTTTAAGTCACTATTATTTAGTTCCCATGCAGCCAAAGCTATATCCTCACTAATGTCCCCAATGTGCACCCACTTTCCCTCATCGTCCTGACATCTACTTTCAGGCATTTCTACTGCAATCCAAATAATTTTTCTTCTTGTTCTTCAGTGAAATAACTTGTTGTCCACTTCCTACCAATAATTAGTATCAAATGGAGACTATATCTTATATTAAAATAACTTTTTTAAATTTCTCACCAGAGGATATTTTTCTACTTATCAGATAGAGTGGGAGGGAGAGAGAGAGAAACAGAGAAACATCAATGTGAGAGAGCCACATCGATTGGTTGCCTCCCACACAACCTGAGCAGGGCCATAACCGAGGTACGTGTCCTTGCCTGGAATAGAACCCACAAGCTCTTTGGTCCATGGGCCGATGCTCTATCCATTGAGCCAAACTGGCCAAGGCTTAGTAACTTTTGTCAAACCTTAGGCTTGAGCAGCTGTAAGGCTCTTAACTTCTAAGAATTGAGTTGCCACACCACTAAGAATTTTGTAGGTTTTTATTATTTTACTATTAAAACATTTTAGTCTTGAAATTGGTTAATCTTAACATAAAAACTAACCACATATTTGTTTTTATACATTACATACACTTGGGAAATAAATAATGTTCTGCATAGCATTAAAAAAAAAGCGCATCATCATATACAAATAAGTTTTCAAGCCAAATGTATAAATACAGGACCCACCGAGGATTCATTCCCAAGGTTTCCATTACTGAAAACAGGTCAGAAGTAAGGAGGAGGCAAAGTCAGTAATAATAGCTCCACTTTGGCTAGAAAGCAGTCACAGAAGCCACAGAAGAAGCACACAATTGGACGGAGAAAATACCTTGACTTAAGACTTGAGTGGTTATGTTTTCTGAAGTTTGGCATTGAACAAGAATACAACTTTGGCACAAGACAGATTAAAACAATGTCCTTTAAAAACCTAAGTACAAAAAAAAAATTTTCACTCTTCCCCCACATGATATCATATCTCCTTCCAAATACATCTCATCCATAAAAAGCCCAACCCCTTGGCACATTTGTTTCCTAGTTACATATTAATAAAAGGGCTTAGGGTTTTATAGATGGCTCTAAAAAATATTCCTTGCTTGTCATATCTGGGGCAAATTGGTAAGACATGGCTATAGACGTCTCACTAAAGTTGCATAAATGAACTTACCATAAACTTTGCTTCCAGGAAATCAGGGTCCTCACCTGGCCCCACCACCAATGTGGTATATAATTCTGAACATGTGACTGAACCTCACTGAGCCTTGGCTTTATATAGAGATAATAACAGCTGCCCTGTTCACCTCCCGTTGTTAATCTCTAATCAGGTGACCACCCACATGAAAATCTTTTGGAAAGTGAAACGGTTTCTCAGGTATCATGTATATTAATTCAGATGAAGAAGTGGAGGCTTTTCCAAGAAGTTCAACATAGAAAAGGGGCTGGCATTGAACAAGGTATTCCAAGAAAGAAAGAAACACCGTGTTAAACCTTAGCACCAGCTGTTTGACAGGAGATGGTTCTGGACAAACAGGTATGTGTAACATTTGTAATACTTTCTACCTTCCTGAACAGATTTTGCTCCAAAGCAGTCATATCTGGCAGTTGGCCACCATTCTGGTCCCCAACACGTATGGTACCCTGCTTGCCACTCTGCTGGTGATCCAACATGTTACGCATATGGGGAATGCACATGTTAATGAAGAAGAAATAGGTAGAAACCACTGAAAGGCTCAGGGTCCCCAACTCTTCCATCCTCCAGCCCTCCCCCAATGCCTCTTGGCCCTTCCTCACATGTATATTCGTGGATCATCTAAACTTGAAGGGAGTCTAGAAATCCCAACCCCATTAAAGTTAAGTGCTTAATAAACATTTGTCCAATCAAAAAAATGAGCAATGGAAAAATAAGAAAGCCAATGATGTGTGCTTTAGAGAGTGAGTTAAGGAGCAGAACAGAATGTCAAAAAAGTAATCGATATTGATCAGTGCAGCTCATTGACCCCAACAGCGAGGGCCTCGGCATCACCCCAGATGGACCCTCTCTCGGTGAACAAAGACACAGGTCTGCCATGACACGTCAGCTCCCAGTGGGAAGGCCTCTCACCAGGACTCTAGTCGGGCCAGGCAGCTGACAGCTTCCACGAAGAGCCACCTCGGAGCCCGCGATCCTTGCCAGGCAAAACACACGCTCATCTCGCCACTTAGAAGCCAGCCCAGTGTGCACAAGAGGCCCAGGTGTTTGGCCCTTTGCACACACATCTGGCCTTAGAGCTATTCTAGGGCAGCAGCAGCTGGAACAGCCGCGTAGGGTCCCCTCTGGCGAGAAGTCCCAGTTGTCATAATAAGCAAGGTCCTGGGCCCAGCAAGCAGGCGCTTCCCTGGGGTCAAGGCGGAGAGGGGTCCTTCCATCAGGTGGGTCCGCAGCAGTAACTTTCCTCCATGTGCTTGGGGCGGGGCGGGGCCTTGCTAGCACCCTCAGAGAAGCTCCAGGGTGTGCCTGAAAGGAACCAGGCGAGAGAGGCGTCAGCTCACTGCGCGAACCTCCCAGACGGTATTGAGGGTGTGCCCAGTTCACACCACAACCCAGCTTTCTTACAAACCTACCGGCCTCTGTTCCTTACCTCCCTTCCAGAACAAATGGAAAAGGTCTCAAGGGCTTCTTTTCCCTCTACCCCACCAAGACTCACTCTCAGAAACACCACACTGGAGCCCTCTCTGGGTTCGCAGCTCCATAGTGTTTGGCATTAACATACTTAGCACAGTACTTACACGCAACACACATGCACACAGGACATGCATGTACACACACACACACACACAATTGTCAGGAGAACTATCAACAAGTCCTCTGCCTTGATCAAAAATCACAAGAGAAACTATAGAATGGCAGGGAGGGGGCAAGACAGAGTCAAGAGATCTTGATTCTAGTCTAAGCTACGCTAACTCGCCTTTGAAGCTCCCAGAACCTTCGTGAAGAGGTGAGCAGTATCCAGCAGAGAATGCTGAAGGTGTGACACACACTTAGGGATGTCATGAATTCCTGGTGTTAATTTATGACTCGGGCTCCTATTGTTTTCTGTTCCTTTGAGGGTGAAGAAAAGGACAATGTGTTTTCTCAAAGAAGTAGTAGGAGATGAGTTATAGCGTTCTCAACTGTTACGAAAGTCAGAAGTGAAAAAAGAAGAAAATATCTTATCACAGATATTTTATCATAAGAACAATGATCCTTCCTGGGCATCTCGAATCTACATGGCTGTTCTGAGGATCAATGAAGTTAATATATGAGGAAGTACTAGGAAAGGTATAAATCTGAATACCAACATAAAAAACTAAGATTATTATAGCACAAAATCATGTGAGCTTAGACCAAGTCACTTAATTAGAAGGACGGTTTCAGGATCCCACAGGTCGTGTGATCACAAGGCTTGTGGTCACACTGATGATCTTGAGCAGGAGACAGAGAGGCTGGCATGTAGCCCGGCCCTCAGGGTTGGCAGACAGTTAATCACAAGGGACGCAGGCACGGGGCAGCTGCTTGATAACTGATACCCAAATCAAGGTGAGTGATGTGTCTGAGCAAATGGAAGCTCTATGCTCAAAAATGAGCACCAGCTTTAGAGTAAACCAATCTGCCTCCATCCTCGCCCCACCATCACCGGCTGGGAGACCTGAGCCTGGGTTCCCAACGGCACACAGGGTTAACAACACCAGCATCCTGGGGTTGTTGATAAATGTAAATGACATAATACATGGAAGGCACTGAACACAGGGTGGGCACATCTACGTGCTCACTGTGTGGCAGAAGCATTATTATCTAGGACCTTTGTTGGGCAAGGGGTGGGGGCCAGGGGTGGGGGGCCGGCCTCCCTCCTCTTCAGCAGGCGTTTAGGCTCAGAGGATGTGTGACGAGTTCCCCTTTGGGATGTGCCCACTGCCTCACGCCTTGAGGTATCAGCTCTGCTCAGCTCTGAGATGAAGGGGCTCCAGCGTGGGGCAACGGGACACCGAAGCAAGATGACCCTTTTGTCTGACTCATCGTTACACAGACCAGCATTCCTGCTACTCAAAAGAGGGGAGAATTGCCCACTAATATCTGCTCACACCAACTTGGGTTCCCGAAAACCTAAAAAGGGGCATTAAACATTGTGGTTCTCCTTCACCTCCCCCACAACTCCCCACCCCAACCTGGGGCCCAGAAGGGAACTGGGAACCCTGGAACTTCCCACAGCTTCGGTCACTGAAGAGAAGTTCGGTCTAAGATAGGCATGGACACCAAGCCCAGGGACTTAGTTCCTGAAAGACATTTCACCAGGACCATGTGTTGTGACCCCTACGGGCTGAAGCAGAACAAGACGCCAAGGGACGTTAACACCCTTCGACATCCTGTACGTTCCATTGATTGTTCCATCGATCTCTCTAGCTCCTTGCAGAAGAGGGTCAGCTTCATAAAGGAAGGGATTTCTAACTGTTTTGCTCACTGCTATGTTCCAAGTGCCCAGCCCCATGTCCACACATGCTAGGTGACAGTCAGCATGTGTTGCATGAACACAGGAGAAAGCCCCGGTTACCTGGTCTCGTTTTTTGTTCTCCAGCTATCCAGACACTTGCGAAACCAGAGCTCTTGGCCAGGGGCTATGCTGGTGCTCTCAGGGTCTTCTGCACAAAAAGTAAATCTAGGAGGAAAAAGAAACCACCACGATGAGCAAAACTCTAGAGGGGAAGGTACGTGGCCGCACATTAGCCAGGCAGTGCTGTCTGGAGCCAAGGTGGGCAGAGCACAGAGGAAAGAGAAGCTCCGTCATGCGGCACCCTGACTCCAGGATCGTCAGAGCTCCCCGCTGCAACTGCAACACCTAAGCCGTCGCACTTGGCCATCTTCCAGGGTTTGGTTCATGCAGCCTTTAACCACACCTCTTCCACATTCTTCCCTCTGTCCAGAGGCTGCTTGTCTCTCTGAAGGTTCCCTGACTGCCTGAGCACCTGATCTCTCAGTTTAAAAGGAAAAGATGTCCTTGTAGGAATGTTGCTTTTGTTCTTGTCGTTCCTTCTTATGGCATAGTGTTAATGGTCAATGCTTTGTCTTATTTTAACACATGATGCACTGCCTTGAATTGCTGTGGATCCCTATATCTGTGGTGGACTGTGAACTCCTCGAATGGAGGGTCCCAGTGTGCCTCCAGGACAGTGTTCTTAAACAGCCACCGACAATCAGGACTCAGCTGTGAGCTGAGATCAGTGATTCAGGAAATGGACAGCCAAGATCACAGACAGGATCAGTGGTCTGATAACTATTTCAACCATAACTTACAGCCAAATCATGTGGCCTACCCCCCCACCTCGGAGATATTTGATTAGCATGACCAATAGATGTGAGGGACACCTGACCCTGATGCTCACCCGAAGGACAAAAGCCATAATCAGAACACCTTTAAGAACATTTACCAGGAAGCCCGAACAGTACATAAATATATGAAAAGGTGACTCGCCTTATCACAACCAGAAAAAAATGAAAACAACAGTAGGGGACCAATTCGTACTCAACAGTATAGCAAGACTGCCCCACTCAACGTAGGTGAGGAAGTGGGGGGACGGGAGCTCGTTTTCTGTGGCTAACCTCTTCAGAAAGGAAATTAATAATATCTAGTTAAGTTGGAGAAAACATATACTATTACTTAGCAATTACACGTTTTAGTGTTCATATCCCAAACCAGCCCTCACACACGTTGACAAGGATATTAATCTCATCACTATTTGTGAGTGCAAAAAAGTAGCAACCGCCGAAATATTCGGCAGAGCAATGGGGAAACTATTGTTTGTACAGTGACCGTTTTCAAACAGGAGCTAAAAGTAAATAGATTAGATCTGTATGTATTGGATACATTTGATAAACAATGTTGAATGAAAGAAAGCAACTTGTTAAGGGATATGTCCACTTATGTAAACTTCAGAAGCATCCAAAACAATTCTATATGTAGGTATAGATATAAACAGAAATACGAAAGGTATAAAAATCATGGAGGGAAAGACACTAACATTATTTAATGCTGGGAGATTAGTACATTTGGTTTGAAAGGGAAGGAACTGAACAGGGAAGGACACAAAGGGGCTTCAACTCTGTCATGTGTTACTTTTTTAAAATCTTCTATCTGAAACCAATATGGAAAACCGTTTACATTTGTTAAGTCTTAGTGGTTTATTATACTTGAAACATTCTACTACATTTGTGGGCTTTCTGCTACCACACCTCTAGGCACAAGTTGCACTTACAAGCACCAGGAGAAGGAAAACAAAAACAAAAACAATTATTTAGACCACAGCCTTGGTGCTAAAGTCCTTCCCAGCGGGCATCCCCCTCCAGTTCACAGGTTTCTAGAGCAAAATCACTCAGGCAAGGAACCCAAGCCTCCACTCTCCTCACAGCTGACCTGGGCCAGAGGTGACAGTTGGAAACAGGGGACATGAAGAACTGCAGTGGAGAAAATGCCAGAGGAGGTACAAAGAGGGCAGCAGCTATTTCCAACCACCCTAAGGCTGACCCTGACCTCCCTGGGGTCTGCTGAAGGATGTGACCAAAGTCCCTCAGCCCCTTTCTTGACAAAGGTCCCAGGCTTCCCTGGCTTCCACTAAGAAAGAAGCCTGCTCAGCGAGTCCAGGCATGGGTTAAGGTGCAGACAGATAAAGGGCTGGATTTTCCATGCGAGTCTTGGAGTTAAGAGATGTGGGAAACCGCCAGCTGGCATGGCATAGAGGATTCTCTCCTGCTTGACGTCAGGACCCGCCCCATGTCCTTGATTCACAGCCTCAAAGGCGAGGTCTAATGCTCTGAAAATAGGATGCTAGGGAAACCAGACCCTCCCGCAGACCTCATCCTGGGGCTTCCTGAACTTGACACTCTGGTTTGCTCTGCACAGGAGCCCGCAAAGACTTGTGGTTGCATGGACCCCAGAGCAAATAGATTAGCAAGGCAGCTCTCCTCAAGAGCCCTGTCCAGGAGCAGCCCCCCTTCCTCCGGGCCAACACAGGGCTTGGCAAACAGAACAAGAGCTGGATGCGGCCCCCGCCGTGCACCCCTCTCAGCCAAGGGCCTGTGATCAGGGCACAGACGTTGACAAAGGACTTGATCTGGAATTCACTTTTCCTTGCAAAGGTGTTTGAGGTTTTGCCCTCGTGCTCTGGATATGAAAGGATTAAAGGTGCTTGCTTAGCAAAGGAAGGGGCACAGCCGAGGCGCACACCTTGTGCCCACCACTGACATGGGCCCGAAAAGGGTCAGGAGGCACTTACTTCCGCTGGGTTTCCCCAGACTTGACTCGGATGCGCCTGATATTCACTTCCTGCTCAGACTTTCGGGACTGAGACAGGTACCTGCGAAACTCATCCCACAGGCCGTACCAGGACTCAGATGTACTCTTCCAGGTGAGTCTGATCTTCAGCAGGTCTCCCAAGTCCTCCTCTGTGTAGACCAGGAAGGTGTTGGTGGCATTCAGCCCGATCTGCTCCACTCTATAGAGAGAGAAAAGTTGGCCTCACTCCCCAGCCACCTGGAAAACTGCCACGCCGTGTGGACGAGCGCAGTGGCAGCCCCTGCCCCCCAAGAATGGAGAGAAACGAGGAGAGGTCTCTCCCCCGTGTCCTCCACCTTCCCCCAGCAGGACCAGGCGGAAGCTCCCTGTCTCCACGCTGACATAGAGATAACTTTGCCTACAGCACCCCAGCTTCTAATCAAAACCCTTCCTGAGTTCCTCCCTATGTATGCTACTTTCTGGGGGCACAGGTCCACTTTAGAACAGAAATGGGAAATCACAGAGAAGTCACATCCCCACTCAACAGTGTCCTCTTCCTCTCAGCCTGCAGGCATCTGTCTCCTTCAAAACTTCCATACAGTGGGGTAGCGACAGCCTCTTTAATACATGGTGCTGGGAGAACTGGACAGCTACATGCAGAAAAATGAAACTAGACCATCAACTTACACCCTACACAAGAATAAACTCAAAATGGATAAAAGACTTAAATGTGACTCATGAATCCATAAAAATCCCAGAATAAACTGTAGGCAAGAAAATTTCGGACATCATACACAGCAGAATTTTCACTGATACATCACCTAAGGCAACAGAAACAAAGGAGAAAATGAACACATGGGACTACATCAAACTCAAAAGCTTCTGCACAACAAAAGATACAATCATCAAAACGGAAAGGCAACCCACTGAGAGCATAATTGCCAATGATGTATTAGCTAAGGGATTAATCTCCAATATATATAGAGTGCTCATACAACTCAACAAAAGGAAGACAAAGAACCCAATTAAAAAATGGGCAGAGGAACTAAATAGACACTTCTCCAAACAGGACATACAAATGGCTAAGAGACATATGAAGAAATGCTCAACATCACTAATCATCAGAGAGATGCAAATTCAAACAACAATGAGGTATCACCTCACACCTGTCAGAATGGCCGCCATCAACAAATCATCAAACAACAAGCATTGTGGAGGGTGTGGAGAAAAGGGGACTCTAGTACACTACTGGTGGGAATGCAGACTGGTGCAGCCACTATGGAAAACAATATGGTGTTCCCTCAGAAAATTACAAATTGAACTTCCATTTGACCCAGTGATCCCACTTCTAGGAATATACCCTAAGAAGCCTGAAACACCAATCAGAAAGAATATATGTACTCCCATGTTTGTAGCAGCACTATTTACAATAGCTAAGATCTGGAAACAGCCCAAGTGTCCATCAGTAGACAAATGGATAAAAAAGCAGTGGTACATATACACAATGGAGTACTACACAGCTGTAAGAAAGAAAGATCTCTTATCCTTTGAGACGACATGGAGGGACCTGGAAAGTATCATCCTAAGTGAAACAAGCCAATCAGAGAAAGACAAGTATCATATGATCTCACTTATTTGTAGAATATAATGAACATAACAATCTGAGGAATGGGGTAGTCCCAGAGACGTGGAAGTGGGGTACAGACTGACAATCCCCAGAGGAGAGGGTGGTGGGGGAGAGATAAACCACAGAACTTATATGCATGTATGCATGAACAATGGACATGGACAACAAAGCTGGGGACAGGGCAGGGAGGGAGGGGGAGGGGGAATCAGTGGGGGGAAAAGGAGAAACATCTGTAACAAAAATTAATTAATAAAAAAATAATAATAAAACACACTTTGGAAAACACTAATCTGAACCAAAAAAAAAAAACTTCTAGCCCTCTCCTGCCCATCCCTTCCATTTGGCACTTGGGGAACTTGCCTCACCCCGTTGTGTGTGTAAGTGTGTGCATATCTGTCTCTCACCTAGACCATGAGCCCTGAGAGGCTACTGCAATCCCAGCACTACTCAGCCTAACGCTTTGCACCTTAGGAGTGCTCAACAAGTATACACATATCGCTGTGTGCCTCCCCCGCAAATGATTAGAAATGGTCTAGGGATAACGCTTATGATGTTCCAAATTCCCTAAAGCCTCAGGTGTCAGGCGTTGTCTGAAATGAAACAGCACTTTCTGCCTAGCTGACCCAGCAGTTTCTCACGCTGCTGATTCATCCTGGGAGTTTCCCTCCCACAAACATGTGTCAAGGGCTTGGTGGTAGAGAGCGTACCGAGAGACGGGGCTGCAGAGGCCGCTGGAGCCCCCCAGCCCCTTCCCCAGCACTAACGCTACCCTCTTCTGCACTGTTCACATGCTCCTGCGTGCTCTCATTCTCATAGCAACTTGTCCTCACCAAAGCAAAGGGAACTTGGGACTTACATTTCCAACGGCAGCATCTGTGAGTCTGCATTGGTGCCATAAAGGGTGACATAAAAGATGGGGTTGATTTCTGTCATGTTCTTGTAGCTGAAGACATGGATTTTCATCTGATAATGATAAACTGCAGAGACAGTAGAACAAAGATACTTGTGAGTCTTGATTGTTCTCCCAGGGCAAACTGACCCAAAATGAGTCACCCAGCACACTGAGTTTTTAGGGACTGCCATGCTTTTGGTCTAGTCCAGCCTGCAGCTTCTCTCTGATCTTGTTCTGTCCAATGGCATAAGAGGTCACTGTGGTATACAGAAGGAGCTCTGAACTGGGGATTCAGGAGACCTTTTGGGGATTCTGGCCCAGCTACCTTCCTGTTGCATTGCTTTGAATTAAGGACCAATGCTCTTTGAGTCTCAATTTCCTCATATGTAAGCAACACCCACAATACCCACAAACCTTATAGTTTTATAACATGTTCTAAAAAGGCAAGATATCACTTTGATCCCTTCCTAAGATTTGTTGTGATAATAAAACGAGAAAACAAATATAAAACAGCTTTGAAAAGTTAAATGCAAGAGAGATTTAAAACAGTAATACTGTGATCTTGGAGTGATGATTCACATCACAAAAAGAGGGCCCACCATTTGTATTCAAAGATTAACTTTCTGCCCTGGCTGGTTTGGCTCAGCGGTTAGATCATCAGCCTGCGGACCAAAAAGTCAAGTGTTTGATTCCAGTCAAGGGCACGTACCTCAGTTTTAGTTCAGTCCCTGGGCCTGGCTGGGGTCCTTCGGGAGGCAACCAATCAATGTGTCTCTCTCACATCAATGTTTCTCTCTCTCTCTCTCTCTCTCTCTCTCTCTCTCTCTCTTTCTCTCTTTCTTCCTCCTTTCCTCCCTCCCTTCCTCCCACTCTATCTGAAGATAAATGGGAAAATATCCTTGGGTGGGAATTTTAAAAAATAAAGATTAAGTTTCCCGTGGCATGCACAACGTAATCTGATCTGCAGTGATTGATTTAACTGTGCCAGCCATGTCTCCCGGGCTGGGGTGTGCCCTGTTCCACAAGGTATTTAGAAGGACGGAAAAGACAGTCCTCAGGGCACTTCGGGGACTGAGGGTTACCTCTGAAAGGCATGCCTGCCCGGGTTTTCAGGTACATCTTGCTGTTCCTCTTGTTCCTCGTCCTCTTGGTGTTGTAGCCAATGCTGTTACAGCGGTTCTTCCGGCAGCTGAGACAGATCCCCTTTTTGAAGCGGTTCGAGTCCGTGCACTGGAAGGCAAAGCTCGGCTTGTCCTGATTCATCAGGGAGTCAACGAAGAGGTATATGGCCCGCTCGTGCTCACACTTCACCCCCTCTGCAATTGCTGAGGAGGGAGGGAGAGGCAGAGAACACAGGATGAGCAGCGTCGCGCCGATCCGCCCGCTCAGTCAGTAAGCACTGTGCAAAACTGGTAGCCACACAACAGCCATGGGACGTGAAGTGCAACACAGGGGGCAGAGTCAATAATAATGTAATATCGGGGGGGCCACTTTGTAAAGTATATGATTGTCTAACCACTATGCTGCACACTTGAAATTAATACAAAATACTACTGAATGTAAACTGTAATTGAAAAATAAAAAAATAAGGCCAAGCCGGTGTGGATCAGTGGATTGAGCATCATCCCATGGACTGAGAGGTCCTGGTTCGATTCCTGGTCAGGGCATATGCCCAGGTTGTGGGCTTGATCCCCAGTAGGGGGACATGCAGGAGGCAGCCAATCGATGTTTCTTTTTTTTTTTATCCTCACCTGAGGACATTTTTCCTCAGATAGAGTGGGAGGGGGAGAGAGAGAGAGAGAGAGAAACATCGATGTGAAAGGGACACATCAAGTGGTTGCCACCTGCACAACCCAACCGGGGCCGGGGACAAACTGCAACCGAGGTACATGCCCTTAGCGGAACTGAACCCGAATCTCTCTGGACCGCAGGTCAATGCTCTAACCGCTGAGCCAAACTGGCCAGGGCTGATAGATGTTTCTTACATTGATGTTTTTATCTCTCTTTCCCTTCCCCCTCTCTCTAAATATATATATATATATATATATATATTTTTTTTTTTTTTTAAAGAAAAAAAGTCCTATGCCCAGCCGGTGTGGCTCAGTGGATTTGAGCATTGTCCCATGGACCGAGAGGTCCTGGTTCAATTCCCAGACAGGGCACATGCCGGGGTTGTGGTCTTGATCCCCAGCAGGGAATGGTAAGGAGGCAGCTGATCAATGTTTCTCTCTCACATCAATGTTTCTATCTCTCCATTTCTTTCTCTCTAAAAAAATCAATAAAAATATATTTAAAAAAAAAGAAGAAGCCCTGGCCGGTTTGGCTCAACGGTTAGAGCATCAGCCCGTGGACCAGAGAGTCCTGGATTTGGTTCCCACTAAGGGCATGTACCTCAGTTGCAGTTCATCCCCAGCCCCTGTTGGGGTCATGTGGGTGGCAACCAGTCGATGTGTCTCTCTCTCTTTCTCTCTCTCTCCCTCCCTATCTAAAGATGAATGCAAAAATGTTGTCGGGTGAGGATCAAAAAAATAAAAAGAAAAGAAAAAAATAAGTATTGTGCACCTCATCAATCATAACTACTTGTATTGTTGCTGTTCATATTCTTGTTTGCATAATTCTTAATACATGCCTGGTGATGTGCTGGGCTCCCATTAAGATGTAGCACTGAAGGCCATTCCTGCTGCCTAACTGTTCGCTCTCCAGGTAGGAAGACAACACTAACACATGCAAAGCAATAACAAGCAACGGAGCACATGTAACAGGATTAAATAAAGTGAGGAAGACCAGCGGTGCAGTTGGAATCACCAAGTCCTGATAAGGTTGTACAGGCTCAAAGCACTGGAAATGGATCAGATGCTAAACATCATCTAGTCCGGGGCTCAGCAAACTATGGCTTGCAGGCTGGCCACCTGTTTGGTAAATAAAGTTTTATTGGAACACAGCCACGCTCGTGTGTTTACGTATTGTCTGTGGCTGCTTTTGTGCTACAACAGCAGAGTGGAGTGTTTGAAACAGAGACTCTGGCCTGCAAAGCCTAAACTATTTACTAGCTAACACTTCAGGAAAGGACCACATTCTAGTCCCATCCTTTTTACTATACGTTATAATCCAAAGCCCATAAACGTGAAGCCATTTGCTCAGGTTTATACAAACAGTTGGTTTCAAAGTTAGAAGTGTAATTTGGATGTTCTGGCCCATAATACATCATTATTTCTTGTAATCTGAGGCTAAGGCCAATAGTTCAAGTACATCTTGGGACTTTCAGAAAAACTTGGCAAAGCCACCCCACCCCTTTCTCACTAACACCATCAACCTTAAGAAAGGCCATCCTCCCATCCCCTGAGGCAGGGCTGAGCTCCCCCTGCCTGGACCTCCGAGTCCTTCAGGGGCTACTTGGATGTATCATCACACTGTGGCAGAGTAGGACACCCAAGGGCACAGCATCAGAGCACAGAGAGCCGTCTGAGGCCGACTTAGAAATGCTGCCAGGATCCAAGGCAGTGAGTGAATGAGAAATCCAGAAAGAGATCGGTCACTGGGCCACACATCTGTTTCAGCAGCAAATTCAGTTCAACCCAAGCCTGCTGGGAATGGACTCGGTTATTTAGAATATTAATGATAAGTGAATGAAAAAAGAACCTTGGGTTTACTTCTGTAACATGTTACAAAAAATACACTCTAGTGCATTCATGCTATTCAACCCTAGTCAGTGTGGCTCAGTTAGTAGGAGTGTCATCCTGTGCACCAAAGGGTCACGGGTTCGATTCCAGTCAGGGCACATATGGGAAGCAACTGATCGATGTTTCTCTCTCACATCAATGTTTCTCTCTCCTCCTCCTCCTTTCCTCTCTCTCTAAAATCAATAAAAACATATCTTCGGGTGAAGATTAAAAAGAAATCTAATTTTAAAAAATAAAAATAAAATAAATTAAAAAACAAAAATGATATGGGAAGATCTATGTGCTCCGATGTTGAAGAATGTCAATAATATATTATGATAGAAAAAGGCAAGTTGCAGAACAATGCAATTTTGAAAACTGCATTTTGAATTTTCAAAGAAAAAAGACTGGAAGGACACACACGAAACTGTTCATTCATATTGGCTACTTCTGAAGAGTGAAAGTAGGGGCAGGAGTGAGAGGTGAGGCGGCAGTTTGCTTTTTGCTTTATGCAATTCTATATTGCTTGATTTTCTTCAACAAACATGTATCCTTCTTGTTATGAAAAGAAATAAATCAATTATGACTGGACCTCAAAGCATGAGAAGGCAGAGCAGAGGCCAAGGGGAGGCTGTGCACAGGCTTGTAGGGTGAGGAATGGCAGGCAGTGTTGAAGGGCCACTGTGGGGGGCGTGGGAATAATAAATAATAATGTGGTTGGGATCCCTAGTAACTTTGGCTGACTTAGGAGGAGATGCGATAACTAAGTCAAACCTCCCCATGAAGCAGAACATAAGGAACTCACTTCCATATGCAATTGACCCCAAAACATCGTTGAGTCCACAGCCCGGCTGGAAGTCACCCCCATTGGGGTAGATGTCAATGTGCCCCACGGGCATCTGAATCCCGATGCTCAAGCCGAAGGAACGTGTGTAGGTGTGGAGGACATCCACAAAGTCCGCGTCGTCAGGGGACAGCCTGCTGTGGATGTCCACCCCTTCAAACATAGGCCCGGCAGGATCCAAACCTGCAGCAGAAGGAGGAGCCAAGACCAAGTGTGTCAGGTGTGCCAACTCAAGTCCAAGTAAGCAGAATGAAACTGTCCTCGGAGCCCAGCCACTCTGGTGCCTGCAGTCCAGGAACTTCGCTTTCTTGTGACACCTTCACCTGCCCTGACACCTCAGCTGATTCAGTAAATTGGCCACAAGCCTCACCCTGGCACACAGCTCTGAAGAACCACAGGCTGTCAGAACTAGAGAAGTTCTACAAAGAATTCAGGCTGGCTGAAACTAAGCCATTCATCCCATTTACTGTACCCCTGAGAGCCTTCCACAGCCTCAGATTAGCAGGCTTTTTACAGAATAACTAAGCTACCTACATCTTCTGGAGGGAAGATTCAATCTCCCCTAACTGAGCTATTTCTAGTTTAGAGGCTGCAAAAACCTCCTTTGGTGATGAATCAGGCCCAGGGTGGAATGGCGAGGGGGTGGGGACACCAGGTACACTGAGAATCTATATCCCATGCCTCCAGAATTCCTCTATTTTGCAGCTACAAAGATAAAACACTTCTGCTTGCAAACTTTCTGGATTGAACAGGCAAGCGGCACTGAGGAGTACTGGTTCTCACATTTCAAAACCACAAGTTATCACTGGGGAGCTGGTTACAAATTCAGATTCCGCTTTGTAGCAACAAAATCTCTGGAAGACCCACCAGCGGTTACCTGTGTGTGTGTGTGTGTGTGCTGGGGGAGGGCAGGAAAGGGAACTGGTCAGGGAGTGGCACCATAAAAGAGACTTTTGCCCTCTTTTAATTTTGGAACGACATCAATGCAAAACCATTAAAAAAAAAAAAAAAAAAAAAAGAATTTGCAAACTATAAAATTCAGATCCCCTGATCCCCTCGGGATTCTAATTAGTAGGTCTGGCATAGACCCCAGAAATATATATATTTATTCTCCAAGTGATCCTAAAAGTAGGTTGTCTGTCAACCAGATTTTAAAAAACTTCTCCATGCTTCAGTATCATCTATAAAATGGAACCTGAATGTTTTAATTCATACAGTTCATGTAACATAATATGAGATTAAGTGCTTGTCAGTGTAAATACTAGTTACTATTACCAAACCCAAGTAATTATGGGAGCCAAACTCATCCCAACCTAGAAGGCTCTTACCCTGCAGATACAGAGAGAAAAAGTTAAGAAAAGAATATTTACAGCAGAGGAAGAGAGTAATCTAGAATGGTGGTTCTCAAATGGGAGTGATTTTGCTTCCAAAGGGACATTTAGGCAATGTCTGCAGTCATTTTTGGTTGTCAAAATTGGGGGAGAGGGAGAGAAGCTACTAAGCATCTAGCAGATAGAAGCCAGGGATGCTGATAAACATCCAACAGCCCTGAGGGCAGCTCCCACAACAAAGCATTAACTGACCCAAGATGTGAATAGAGCCAAGGCTGAGAAACCCTGATCTAGAAACAGCAAGGCAGGGAGGAGACATGACCAAAAACAGTCATAAAAAGGAGAAGATGCTATCTAATCTCAAGAACCGTGTTCCCCAGATCCCAGTGCCATAGAGCCAGGGAGCACACTGTGAGGCTTGAGAGAGGAATTTTAGGGTAAACAAAAGGAAAAGCTATTGTCCAGACTGGGCAGTAAAACTGTGGAACTCATCATGCAGAACTGGTAGAGGTTGAAACTCTAAATAGTTTCCCGAAGTTTAGATAAACGTGTGTAAGACAGAGGCAGAAAGGGAGCCCAGGTTGCTTGTGGGATGAACCCCAGCCCAGCACCCAAAAGAAAGATGGTACAAAAGCAGTGTCCTCCCAAAACAGCCCATGATGACTCGTTTTAGAGGCTGCAAAAACCACAGTACTGACATGAGCAGCCTCTCCCTGCCCGTTGCCATGTCTCCTTGAGCGGGGAAAAAAAGAAAGAAAGAGGAACATTCTGCTGTGCAGCCAATACAAGAGAGGGGCTCTTTGCTTGGTGTGAACAAAAGTCTCCACCAGACGGTCAGTGCCATGGAAACCAAGCTGTGCTAGAGGAATGCAGGCAGCTGGGGGGCTTCTCTACGGGACTGCTGGCTGCCAGGCTGAGCCTTCACCTACCCAGACTGACTCGGCCTGACACATAGCCAGGGCTCACAGACTCTGGGGAAAGTTGCACAATTTACTTTTAAACTGGAAATGGGAGGCAGAACTTAACCCCTCCAAAAAGAAAGAAGATGGAGAATCACCCCTTTTCCATTCGGTCTGACTCCTCCAAAAGTGTTCTGTCCAGCAAATGGAACACATGCTCGCGGGCACATGGGCACACACAGGAAAACCTCTGCATTCTGGCCTGGCAGGGTGCAGCCTGCCGTACGACCATAGCTACTTTATCTCTACTGACAGAGGAGAGGCTGTGGAGCAGCCAGTAGGTGCAGGTACTGGAATATGACAGCCTGGGTTTGAGTCCCAGTCCTGCTACTTAGAGTGCAAGATATGAGACCCATTACTTACGCACTGAGTCAGAGTTTCCCCATCTGTAAAATGGACCCAAAGGGATCCCCTTTGCTATGTGACTTAGATATGTCATCTGCCCAAAGCCTACAGAGTGGTCACTTAATTTATGTCTTGAATGAATGAATGTTTGCTTATTTATTATAACTAACTAGACAAGGGGTCAATTAGAAATATATGATCTCTTCCCTATTATATCACAGAATTCCCTCAGAAGCCTAAGAGGGTAACCCTGAGCAAATCCCAATACACAGCTCTCTGATCCAAGCAAGACTGGGATTCAGGTATCTCCCTACAGGCCCCAGGCCTCAGGACCCCATTCCAGCTACAGTCTCTGGTACTCTTACTAGTCGGGAACACCTGGTCCCCAGGCCCATGAGCAGTCTGAGGGGAGAGGAACGTGCACAGCCTCTTCCATCAGACATGCACAACGGCATATGCCAGGTCATCCAAATAACCTCTGAGGTGCTTCTTGGCAGCTGGACAGAGGCCACCCCTTCCTGTTGTGCTCACCAAGGCCCCCGCTCCGCAGAGAAAGGCTGGAAAGAAGGGGTTGAGCTCAGGACATGCGGCCCCCACGCCCCAGGCAGACAGCACGGAGAACCAATTAGCATTCTGCCAGCGAAGCCCACATCTCAGCAGCTGCCACCCAGACAGGGGAAGGAGCTGGAACGCTCCTCACCAGCCCCATCTCGTTTAAGATTTAGAAATAAGGAAAGGGGGGCTCTGCGGCTTGTCCTTGTTACCAAGGACTCTCGGTGTGGGGAGGGACCAGTGTGTGCTGGCCCCCACCAGAATGGCTGGCCCGGCTCTAAACATCATGCTTCAAATGAGAGCTAAAAGGAGGTGCTCAGACAATAGGACCCAGAGCGGCTTAAGGTCAAACAGCTTTGCACCGACAGTGGGTTAATGAGCAGTCATGTGTGGCCACACAATCACTGTCCACTTAGACAGCCCAGGCCCCACTAACGTGGTAAGCAAAAATAAAGCCCTCGAAGTATGCTGAATCAAATAATGGGATCTAAAGGAGTATGTCAGTGTGCATGCGTGTGTGGGTGTGTGCGTGCGCGCAAGAACATTAGACTTACACCCAGGAAATGATATAAAGAGAGCCACTAAAACCTCACAAATACTTTTTTTTTTTAATCTACCCACCAGCTTACTGCTGAAACCTGAAATTCTACCTTTACTAAGTCTTTCTTTAGCTAAGAACACCTGGGTCCCTTTCAAAATGAAAACACTGCTGGGAAAGAAATTGATCAACTCCTTCCTTCTATTTTGGGGGCCAGGGAAGGCAGGAAGTAAGGACTAATAAAAGAATGCTGGAGGGAGATTAAACATTCAGGGCAACAAAGTTGCCATTCATTTTAGCCTAGAGGAAGCCCTGTGTATGTATTTGAGGGGACCCCAACATGGGAAAGAGAAGCTTTCTCACTTTTCACAGTCATGAAAGGATTTAAGCCAAACTCTCACATCAAAATCTCACTAAAATGGAAAACTCCATTTTCTATTGACAATCTGGGTGCTGATATCAGAAAGGTCTCTTTAAAGACCAAGTTTAATCATGAGGTCTACACAGCTCATTATCACTAATAAAGGCCAGTGAAACCTTGGCAAGAGGCTATGAGCAGATGAAATGGAAATCAGAGGCAGAATTCAAACTAGAATCCACCGCTCACTCTTTCCGTTGAGGTCCTAGACTATCACAAGCCGGAGGCCAGCGTTCTACCCCACTTCTGCCCTTTAGTTATTAGCTCTCTGCCCCTGGGTGTTTCCTCACCTGTTGGGTCAGACCAGTGATTTTCAAACTGTGTTCCCTGGGGCTCTGGGACCCCGCGATTCCCCCAGGGGAGAGGAAAGCCCAAACAGCAAAACTCACACTGCCCACCATACCGCCAGCCTCAACCAGAACACCCCTTCTGTGTTTCATATATTGGGGTGTCGCACAGGTTCAATTTGAAAAAAGGATTCCGTGACTAAAAAGAATGTTTGAAAAGCTCTGGGTTAGGTGTTCGAGTTTCTTCCAAAGCTAACGCCCTACGGCTCACTCACGCTGCCTCCTGTGGGGCGCTCTGGTTTAGCAACGCCAGCTTGTCAGAGGAGCTGAGGGAGCTGGGGGACCAGCTGCTTGGGAGGACGCAGAGCTTACCCGTGATTCTGCCCACCGTGCCTTTCACGAAGTTGCCAGCATACCCAGCCACATGAGCTCCAAGGCTGTAGCCGATCAAGTGAACATTCCCAAGAGAAAAACCATCCTGCTCCTGTGGGAAGGCACAAAAGTGTGTGAGTGGAGAGCGTGGTCCTGAGCCCACAGAGTCACCAACAACTCAATAGTTCAGTCATGACAGGGAGGAGACACAGGAGCCAGGGACAGACTTCCAGGGGCCGGCTTTGCTGGCAATGCAACACAGATGGAACGCGGCCAGGTAAGAGGAGGTCAAAAGGACTTTGGTGGCACTTTCAGTGCCAAGCGCTGAGGGCAGGCTGTGACTGGAAGCTGTATACCTGACCCTTCCCCTACATGTTTTCATTCTTTCTGGCAGCATCTAACGGGGGAGGGTGGCAGTGTGGAGGTCAAAGCCACCAGACTCACTGGGGACTAAGTGCCAGCCCAGCCTGCAGCTGCGTACTCCTTGCCCACCCTGAGGCCCCGGAAGCGCTGTCCTCACCACAAGCCAGCCTGGGACCCCGGAGCTGGAGCATCGTACCCCAACAGGGAACTCCACTGGTGGGGAGGGAGGAGGTGGGGATTTGACCCCACAGCTCAGGAACCAAGCTCTACAAAACAACCTAGGCAGAAGACTGAGGGACGGTTCAAGAACCCAGAATCTGAAGACCTCTAGATCTGTTTTCCACACGGAATGGTTTAAGCACGGCAGTAGGCTGTATTTGTTTGAACCAAACCCCTCCCCGTTCTCAGGACAGGAACCCTTAAGAAGCCAGAGTGGATTTCAGTAGGTTTTTAAGATTACAAGCCAGTGCTTACTCCGGGCCATTCGCAACCAACCTGAAGACATCAGTTTGTAAGATCAGAAAGTAATGACCCATAAGGCAAACTTTTGCCCAGCAGATAAAATGGCAGGAAACATCCAGAGATATATCAATAATTAAAAGGCTCTCTCAAAGTCTCAGCATCCCAGAGATTTTGTTCGGACATCTGAAATTCACTGTAACACTCTAATCTGTATTTCTTAAGAAGGTTTGAGTTCAAGACGCAGCTCATGAGAGAGGATTCCCTTTCGTGCCGTTACCTGCAGCCAGTCGAGCATCCTCGCGATGCTGTGCCCCACCATCCTAACGTTATTGACTGCATCTGTGTAAAGCTGGTGGGCCAGGGGGAGCCAGTCCACCACCACGACATTGGCTTCTTTCTCTCTTGTCTGCAGGGCTGACACAAGTTTGTACAGCCATTTTCCAAGTATGCCACTCATCTGCGGAGAAAACAGGACTTTTACAAAAAAGCTTCTCTGGGTTTCAGAAGTTCTAATGACTATAAGATTCAGTTCCACGATCCTCTCCCCAGAACCTTCACATCAACTGCTCGGGGACCAAACATAGGCACATGAGCAGGACAAACCACAGGCAGGATTTCTAGGTGAGTATTTGTCTTCATCGCTCTTTCCATCCTGCTTTTCCCATCAAAACCATCCTGGCCTCTGCTCCACTGTCCTAGACGGCCACTATGAGATATGGATTGGTGGCAATACTGGCCTGAGGTTCGACTAAGTCCCTGTCACAGTCAGAGAGGTGGCCTGCTCCATCATTCAAAGGCAGCTGGGAAAGGTTGCCCTGGAGAATGAGCTTCTCTCTTGAAGTTGCAAGGAGATGGTGTCTCCTAGGCGAACACAGAGTTAACAAATGACCCTGTCCCACAACCCGTCCCTCTTGACCCCAGAAAAGGAGAGATCTGTCCCAAGAATCCCAAATTAGAACTCAGAACACATTTTCCCACAGAAACCAAGTATAAATGGTGACAAGGTCCAGTTGTAAACCTATCCACAAGCACATTATTAGATAAAAAGATTTTCTGTGCCTGGCCTGGGAACCCAAACACCATTTACAATCTTGCTTCTATGGGAAACTGCTCTTCCAAGTTCCAAACAGATTACAAAAGAACTTTCTGGAATGCAACCCATTTGTAAGTTGCAGGCAGTTTGTATTTGCACTTTGACAGGGGCCTTAAAAAGATTCAAATGCATGATTCTAATCATGGACTGTGGGGTGAAGATAGTTGGGCAGGCCTTGAAACATCTCTTGAATCACATTAGGTAGGTAGGTACCTACTCCCCAACTCCCCCAGGCCTGACCTCAACAGTGAGTGATAGACCTAAAGACCCAGAAAGCATGTAATGGATATGAATTTCTCATCACTGAGAAGAGGAATGTCCCCTCCCAATTAGCCCAGGCAGAAACCTGCTCACTTAATAGTGCCATTTTCCTACAGACTGTCATTATATGAATGAATAAATCCCTCGCTGGTCAAAAGCTTCTGAAGCTGAGTGTTAAAGCCCTTTTTTGTTGAAGTTTGTCATGGACCTTTCAATGCGAATTGCTCAGCTAGGGCACATAAAGAGCCCCAATGCCTTTAAAGGGAGACATCTCTATGCAAGCAGGAGGGCACCATGCCAACGGCGGCCAGCAAGCCAGGCCAGCTGGCTCCTCATAGACTCTCTGAGCCAGTCAACTTGCTTCAGCTCAGCTCAGTTCTTAGGGAGGGATGGCCCTCGTGAGGCAGTGGTTGGCCAATGTAATTAAGTGTAATTAGAGGGATCCTTAAGAGCCGGTGGGAGCTGGGCTGCTGCCCTCAGGAAAGCCACTTTCTGAAAGCCTGCTGTGTGCCAGCATCAAATACCACCCTGCTGGAGTCCAGACTGCCCCCTTAGTGAAGTGCCCGTTACATTTTTCACAGCTGTCTGAAATACAAGCAGCCCACAAGACAAGAGGGGGAGAGAGAGTGGAATCTGGAAGCACCAGTATTCTTTTTAATTGACCGAAACAAAAGAAACCAAATCTTGTGTAAAGCTGCAGAGCTCCCTCCCCTGGACTCACTGTCCATCCATGGATGATGAAAAAGGTTTTGGCTGTCATGTTGAAGCCACAGTCTTCCAGGGACTGGTTATGGCCGAGGGAAAGGTAGCATCCTTCGTGCTCCGGGTCCTCGGAGATACGGAGGTTAAACCTCACGGAGGGTTTGGCAGCAGCCTGTACATCCTCGGATTCGTTGAGCTCATCTAGGGAGAAAGAACAGAACCTGGTGCATCGAGCGGGCTTGAGTAATGAAAGATTTGGGGTGTAGCTCCAGTACAACCCCTCTGGGTCTTAGTTTTTATACCTGCTGAATGTTTCCTCCTCACCTCTCAGAAGAGTTGTAAAGATATAATAAAAGGGACAGCTAGTCTATATTTAAGAGTATTTAATTAGTCACTAGTATTAATTACCATGACTATGAAATAAAGAGGTCTCTCTTGCTTTTCTTTCTCCTGCTCTTATCAAAATGAGTTGTTCCTTCCTTCCCTCAAGGTACCACTTTCAGAGAATAAGTCCTCAATTACTTTTCTGAAATGCTTCAGACAGTGAAGTTGCAGAATTCATAAATGCTTATATTTTAGGAAGGCATTATGGTACATACACCATGTATCATATAACACCCCCATCAAGGTCTGGGGGATTCCCCATTAACCAAACACACTAATATTTCTGCAGAGAAATACATGGCTACTCATACTTGAGGGCAAAAAGAAAATTACAAAATAGGCTCCTGTCAATTCAGGTCAGTTTTGCTGCCAAATGAGTTCAAGTCAGGTCAGGCCAGATCTTGCTGCCAAACAAGTTACCAAATTTTCCAGTTTTGAGATATTTTGGAGTTTGAAATTGGAGGTAAGAAGCTACTAACCTATTATACAATGGGCTTCTCCTAGTGTTCCCAGCTCAATTCTAGCACTTACTCGAAAAACCTCATGCATCCTCCATGCCCTTTGCAGAACCAGGCATGTGCCAGGCATTCTTCTAGTTTGTTAAACAAATGACTGAGGCCATGGAGAAACTCCTAAGAGCAGCACAACCACTCTCTCCAGCTCCACTGCTCACACACAGTGCCATGGAGGAGATAACTTTGCTCCCAGAACACAGCTGATGTCTCTGATGGTCCCTATGGCCTTTAAACACTGGGTACTGTCATCACCACACTACTTCAGGTCGGCATAAGTGAACCCCATCAAACACTCTTCCAGCCAACCAGGAAACCATCCCTTGATAACGGGCTAAGAAATTAGAAAATCAAACTCTCCTCTCACTCAGAAATCAGAGGAAAAGATACCAAAGGATCAACCCAGGAGCTTCTTTTATCCCAGAGTTAGGAAACAAATGGAATCATGGGAAGAAGAACCAGAATGGTGGAGGGAGGGTCAATGGGGCAGGGTGGGGGTGGAGAATGCACCAGATGTAAAAAGGATAGAGTTCCAGAAAATGCAACTAAATACACAGGAGCAGAACTTTGTAATTAAAGTAATGAACAAAAGCCACAACCGGCAGAAATTTGAGCCATGGGCATAACCACTTTGACACCTCCCCAATTTCTACCCAGATAACCACTCACACAAAGACTAGATGGGGGATTCTAGGGAAAAAAGGCAAAGGAGTCTACTGGCTTCCTGGGACAGATTGGTGAATAAACCCACATAGCAACATAAAGAGTTCGCCTTAGCAGCTGCTTCTCTGACCCTGGAGTTCTTTAGCTTCACTCCTACTACTTCTGACTGGGGTCACTTCAACCTCTGGGACTTTATGATTGTTCTTCACCCAGATGTCCTCATGGCTCATTCTCTCACCTCCTTCCGTTCCTTGCTCTCAAATCTCAAAGAGGGAAGCGTGACCACAGATTAAAACTGCATCACCTTCTCCCACCAGCACTCCATACCTTCCAAAACGCTGAGCACCATTTATATATTTTATTTAGATTCCTGTCTGTTTCTCGCCACTGAAACATAAGCTCCACGAGGGACGGGTTTTCACCTGCTCCTAGAAGAATGCCTGGCACTAAGCAGTCATGCAATACATACTCTTTTAAATGAATGAAACAGCCCACCAATACTCAGAATGGCAGAATACGGAAGCTGGAAGGAACATTAGCATTCTACAGAAGAGGAGCTAGAGATGCAAGCTACCCCAGGTCACACTTTTACTTAGCACTAGAGTTGGGGCATGCTGAGTAAAGCAAGGCTTTCCCATTCATTCATTCAAATTAACCCTCCCACCAGTACATAAGCTGGCATGGACCAACATCATCTGGCCAATGCCAGCAGAAGAGAAGATGAAATAATGGGGTGCAATTAAGGGGCCGCCTGGCACTCCCGCTTGGTGACCCTACCCTCATTCCACCTTGGCAGTCTTTATCCAGTGGAAGAGGCCGCCACGCAGAACTCAGAAGGAAGAAAAGCTAGCAGCTAGGAAGAGAAAGAGAGGGGGCTGGAGGGTGTTGGGCAGGAGGAGGCTGGCAACCTGGGAGAAGAAGCCCAGCAGCTTCTGGGCACAAGTCACTCACCAAATGCTCCCTGCCACCTTAACTCTCAAAACACCTACGCCCATTGATTAAAGGGAGGAGGAGCGCCATGTGAGAGAGCTCCTTTTAACCTTCTTGGCTCGAAAACCATCAGGTGTAAAGATAAGGACAAGGTTGGAGAGCTGCTGGCAGCCACTTGGGCTGGCTGGACAGCACCCATCCTTCTCACGGCGTGGGGTGGGGCTAGAGGAAGCCGGCGAGCTCACCCGCTAGCCTGAGGCCTTTCGGATGTCCTACTAGCTACGCCCTCGTCAGAAGCGCCACGGAACCAGTGAACTGCAAAACTAATTAAGGGGAGCAAATGGATAGCGCAAGGGAAAGGGAAGGGTTTCCCAGGAACGAGGAGGGGCTGAAGAAGAGTCTGCAGGACAGAGGGGGGCCTGCACAGAAAAGAAGTTGGAGGTAATAAAAAAAAAAAAAAATCAGTGCACGTTACCTTGCAGCGGTCCCTCTGGACCAAGGAGTGCGGGGCCTCCCGCGGCAAAGCAACAATAGACGCTCCAGAGGCAGAGCAGAAGAACCGAGTTTCTCATCCTTCCCTGCCACACACCCGTCCGAGCAAAGGGACTTTAAAAAATAAAAACAAATAACCAAACAAAAAACACCTCTTTGAGGTTTTCAGCAGTTTGAGCAAGTAGCACCCGAAGTGGGCACCTTCTCTCCACCAGAGTGGTGTGGCCTTAGACAGCTGAAGGTGGAGAAGAAGAAAACTTGGCAAAACTGAGCGTTGGGGCGGTAGAGGGAGTGTGAAGGGGCTTAAATCAGAACCAGATCTGCCCTCACTCCTACCTCCCGCCGGGGAAGTACGGGCTCGCCACTGTCACACAGCGAACTCCGGAGGAGGTAAGTTTTTTAAAGTATGGGAGTCATCTGACCCATCGCCAGATGGTGATTTGCATAATTTATTCCCATCTCCGGACTCTGATTGGTCACACCTTCGCTGACGCCGGAACTGAGACTCCCAAAGTTTGAATGAAAGAGCCACACACCCACCACGTGGACTCTCCGAATGCGCAGCCTTTCGTTCTCCCCAACCTGTGGCTTTCCTGCCACCCCACTTCCTCCTAGTGCCCATTTCCGGAGCCCAGAATCTTCGCTCTCCCCTGCCGTCCCAGGGGGAACATTGCCCCGAAACCCTGCGCCTGCTGGGGACGCGATCCCTGGGGAAGGAAAGTTAACCTCTCCAAGGAGCAAAGCTACCCGGGCGCACGGAATGTTCTCTCTGCGCCCCAGGCCAAGGGTCCGGATGGGGGAGAGTCACCTGGTCACCTCTTTGGTACTTCTCTTCCTTCACTCCCCACCAGAGAGGCCTGCGACAGGTGCAGACAGCGTTACAGGACAATGATCGGGCAGAGCTGAGGACCTGGAGACTGTTGGTTGCGGCGTCAGGATCGCACAGACCCTTCTAGTCCCCGTTCTGCCACTAGCTGCAAAACTCGGCGCAAGCCACCGAACTTCTCCAAGGCTGTTCCCTGGTCCCCAATATACCCTTTGTAACAGTTCCTAACGCTTAGGATATTGGAGGAAAACTAAAAGAGATCATGTGCAGCGCTCAGTGCAGAGCCTGCCACGTGGTAGGTGCTCGCCTTGGGGGTGAAGGACTGGAGGGACACCAGGCGACACTCCCCAAAGAAAAAGGAGGTTTCGGACGCATGATCAGCACCGAGTTTCGGCAGAAGCACTCAACTACCTGTTGAGTGGAATTAAGCAGCTTCTTCCTCTCATCATTTTCCCTTCCTCTCCCTCCCTCTATTGTTCCGCGTCCCCACTCCTCCTTCGGGTCTAGAGTCCCGGCGCCGACTCCATCCGCGGACTGGAGAATGGCGAGCGGCGGGCAATTTGTCCCAGCGTCCGCGTCTGGCGCAGGGGAGCTAGAGCTTGGGCCCGTGGCCCTCCTGCCCAACTGAGGGCGGCTGCGCCCCAACAGCCATTGGGGACGCCGAGGCCGCGGCACAGGTAGAAAGCTCTGCGCAAAGCTGAGCACCGCCATCGCGCCGCGCTCTGGTGAAGCCGGAGCTCACTCTGCAAGGCTGCGCGAGTGACTGCGCAGAGTAACCCCGCCGTCGCTGGGAAGCGGTCCCACTCTATCCAAGGGAGGAAAACCGCCCTGCAGTCCCGCGCCCCTTCGTCCCCGGTGTCTAGACCCAGCCAGGAAGATCTGTGTGGGGAAACCAGTCCGGACGAGCAGGTCCTGTTCCTACCTATAGCCTCATTACTCTTGTTTCTCCACTTGCCAGCCAAGTATGCTTTGTCCCTCCCGTGTGCTATAATTCATTAAGGCAGACCGGCTTAATTTTTTGGTATAAAATGCAATGCACTTTATGGGATGGTAAATGTCACCACCAGATATGTTGCTTCCGTGCCCCTCCTGCTCCCCTTCTCTCTGTCGGCAAACTACACGCATGTATCTACATTTTACAGATGGGAAAAGTGGGAACGTGCGGCAGGTTTGAAGTAATTCTTGACAATCAGGTCTCTCTCCTCTGCTCTAGGTTTTATATGGCCAGTTGATCTCTAAATATGAGCCCTTGGATACAATATCTACATCTCATCAGTAGCTGAAGCAGTGGATAACCTATTAGTCAAAAATTTCCGTTTCTGTCATGAGTTGCTCAAAGCCATAATATAGTCCCTAGAACTTTAACTGGACAATGTGGTGTGTGTTGGGGGCTTTTGTCACAGGTTAGTGAGATCTCCTAGGGGAGCTAAGTATTGGCTGCAGGATGAAACCTGAAACCTGGGAATGTGCCCTGACCAGGAATCCAACCAGCGACCTTTCTGTGCACTGACGCTCAACCAACTGAACCACACTGGCCAGGGCTCAACATCTATTTTTTAACTGCCAAGGTTATGAAACCATTTAAGTGTTATTGCTGGTTGGTTGTAGTGCCCTCCTGTGTCTCTACATTAAAATATCATGTGCAAACTTTCAAAAGACAGTGAAATTACAATCACAGCGTTATAATAATGTATAACATCATCTGCTTGTTATGCATCAGACTTTCCAGAAGAATCACAAGGAGATCTGGGAAGCTTCCTGTATGGAGGAAGGCCCTGCCTGGGGAGTTTCAGCAGAAACTTTTGTTTGTGTTGCAATCAAAATTTCAGGGTCTCAGGCGACTCTAGCAAAGGATGGTGGTCATTCTTTCTGTTTGCCCAGCATCTGAAGACACCTTCCTATGTTAAAGCAATGAATCCTCCTCTGTGAGAGGAGCCCAGTTTCCACTACAGAGGCTGAAAAGCAAGCACACACCTGTCCAGCCTCACCTGCAGCTAGAATCCCCCATTTCAACTCAGCCAAGGAAACTCTGAACTGGAAGCTAGTGAGACTGGAAGTGCCCCACTTTGCCAGTGGGGCATCACAGGGGCAGCCAGCCTGGGCCCTCCGCGGCTGCAGTGGGGTCACTACCAGATCAGTCTGCCCAGGTGTATCTGCCAAGCCTGGTTCTTCTGCCCTGCAGAGATTGTGGTTGCAACCCAATATCATTTCAATGCGTTCCTCTTCTGCATAAATGAGCCAAAGACTGTGTTGCTTACAACTAAAATTACTTAATCACCAGATGCTAATTGAGTAATTACTAGGGGTACAATGACTGGGCTGAGCACCCTTAGGTGGGTGGAACCACCCTATCTCATACCACCCTCCTCTCCTCTCTCTGACATTCCACTACACAGCCTTCTCTTCAGTTTTTCTATCCACGCTGTCTAGTAAGTCCCCACGAGCTAGCTGTGGCTATCGAGCACTCGAGACGTGGCTAGTCTAAATTGAAATGTGCTCTAAGAGTAAAAGACACACCGGATTGCAAAGACTTAGAACAAAAAAATATATATAAAATACTTCATTCATAATTTTTATGTTGAGTAAATGTTGAAATGAGCCCTGGCCAGTTTGGTTCAGCAATTAGAGCATCGGCCTGCATACTGAAGGGTCTGGGATTTGATTTCCAGTGAAGGGCGCGTACCTGGGTTGCAAGTTCGATCCCCAGCCCCAGGTTGGGGTTGTGTAGGAGGCAACCGATAGATGTGTCTCTCTCATAGCGATGTTTCTTTCTCTTTCTCTCCCTCCCTCCCTAAAATAAATAAATAATAAATGTTGAAATGCTAAACTTAATTTCATCTTTTTCTTTTTACTTTTTATAATGTGGTTGCTGGAGAAATTTTTTTTTTAATTTCTTTTTTCTTTATTGATTTTCAGAGAGCGAAGAAGGGAGAGGGAGAGAGAGATAGAAACATCAATGAGAGAGATCATCGACTTGCCACCCCCTGCATGCCCCTCACGGGGGATTTGGCCCACAACCCAGGCATGTGCCATGACTGTGAATTGAACCGGTGACCTCTTGGTGCATGGGTTGACGCTCTCAACCACTGAGCCACACCGGCCAGGCAAGAAATTTTAATTACATATGTGGCTCATATTATATTTCTTTTGAACATTCTAAAGCATCAAGATTTGGCCTTTGACCTAGTTAATGCTAACTCTTATCCAACTTCAGATATCTGCTTGTGTCCCATCTTCAGGGAAATTTCCTCTGACTCCTGTCCTAGGTTTCCTATGTGGATGTAAGAAACATAATTTTTATAAGAGTTTATTTGAGGACAACATATGTTGGGAAGCAAGATTTCAGATGCTCCTGACAATAACAATTTGCAGATTCTTTTATACATTTGGGATTAAGGAGGGACTATAAGGAAGATTGCATGGGTGGGAGAAAGCTAGTCAGGATCAGATAGCAGGATAGTTAAAATGATGTGTTCTCTTGAGAGTGGTCACATATTAGAAGGAGGGATCTGGAAGCATGTATCTCAAGGGTGTATTAACCTAGCTGCACAGAATCAGTGGACAGGGCTTGCTTAAGGCAAAGATAATAAACCTATGACTAAAGAAGTTATATGCCTGGGGTATGACTACTCACCACCATCTGCCCAGTTAGGAATTTATAATCAGATTACCCTGTGAGGTTACATTACATGGAACTCCTTCTTTGTCCATTCCTATAAGCGTGTTCCTTTCTTTTATAGAATTTACTATAAGCCCCATGAAAATAGCAACTAGGCTTCTTATTGCTCATTCTCCCAGAACCTAGCATACAGCCTAGCACATAGAAAGAGTTCATTAGCCTTGGCTGGTTTGGCTCAGTGGTTAGAGTGTCAGCCCACAAACCACGGAGTCGTGGGTTCGATTCAGTCAGGGGTTTGTACATTGGTTGCGGTTCAACCCCGGCCCTGGTTGGTGTCATGTGGGAGGCAACCAATCAATGTGTCTTTCACACATCAATGTTTCTCTCTCTTCTTCTCCCTCCGTCCCACTCTACCTGAAAATAAATGGAAAAATATCCTCAAGTGAGGATCTTTAAAAAAATAAAGAGTTCATTAAATATTTGTTGAATGATTACATAAATGAAGTGTGTCATGAATCTCCAAGAATAGGACAAAGTAGTTAGCTTTGGATAAATTGATTCAACCCTAGAACTCTTGCCTGGCAACAGGCTTAATGAAGAATTAGAATCACCAAGAACATAGTTTGGGAAGCACGGGATCAGGGGTTGTA